CCCAACCTTCCTTCCGAGGAGTGGCTGGTGGGTTTGAACTGCCAGCCTTCTGGTTAGCAGTCAAGTGCCTTAGGCACTATGCCACCAGAGCTCCTGAGTTCCCAGAACTGTGGGTAGCTATAAAGAAAAATGTTGCTGTGTGCTATCGAGTCAATTCCAATGCCTAGTGATCCTATAGGACAAAGCAGAAGTGCTCATCGAGTTTCCTAGGCTGCGATCTTCATGGGAGCAGGTCACCGGGGCTTTCCTCCAGAGTGGCTGGTGGGTTCAAACTGCCAACCGTTGTACCACTAGGACTCCTTGAAGAAAAAATAAAGATAATGAGAAAGAAAAACTAAAGTCATTCATAAGCCACCCAGAGAGAAACCACTTAGTCACATCCCATACACTGGACTCTATAGTCAGGTTTTTATCTGGCATAACATTTTTATCTTCTGAGCATTAAATATCTTTCAAAACATCCTTTAAAAAAACATTTTATTGACATCTGGTTTTATATGTACAGAAAATGAACATGCTATAAATGTACAACTTGATGAGCTTTAAAAACTGAACCCACGTATGCCACCTGCACCCCAGAAGCTCCCTCTTGTTCTCTCAGTCACTCTCCCCTCAAAGTGTAACCAACCACGAGCCTGACTGGAACTTCACAGATTAGTTCTGTCTGTAGAAACATCCTGTGAAGTATTCTATTTATACATCTCCCATCATTTATTTAAACACTTCCTAGTTGGATATTTTGCTTGTTGCTTTATTTTACTTGCATTATAAAAGAAAGCTCCAATGAACAGCCTTCTACAAAGATGTTTCTGTTCATCTTTGATTATTTTCTTGGGATAAATCCTTAGACGTTTTTATAGGGTCAACAGGGTAAACAGTTACAGCTCCTGATAAACATCAGCAGTGGATAAGTGTCTGTCTTCACTCTAACATCTGCTTTATTTATAGCTGCACAATGCCATCTTTTTATGTGACAGCTCTTTGTAAACCACAAAGTGCTCAATGTATACAAGGAGTATCATTGTGTGGTTAACAATGATCCCCATCATAATAATAGTCTAGCATCAGCCACCTCCCAGGCTCTGATGGGCTGCCCACGCAGTGCTCCTGGACCAGGATTTGGGTTACCTTCTCTGGGGTAAGCCAGGTTTTATCTGGGCATTTCCCTGGACTCTTCCCTCTTTCCTACCTTCCCATGGAGGTCCTTGGCATTCCTGCCTGCCCCAGCCTGGCATGGTATCTCCATGGGAGCCTGGGAGCTGGCTGGCCAACCACTTCCAGAAGGAAGGCTTCACACTAGATATCCTTCCCTTTGTGGAATTCCTGTTCACTCCATCCTTCTTCCCCTTGGGTGGGCTCTACAACACAGGGGGATGTGTATGTGTGCATGTGCGCACGTGTGTGTTGGGGCCCTGCTCACGATCACGTCGTGAGCTCTGGGCACAGGGGCCTGAGGAGAGGTGGCTTTTTGGTCCATTAAAAGCCTTGAGCAGGAAATAGGACCATCTGACCAGGAGATCCCCTCTCAGGCACAGTGATTGACATCCTGTGTGGGGTGTCCAGTGGACAAGGCAGCACTGTCCTGTGGTCAGGAATTGTTTGGCTGTGGAGTCAGGCAGTTCACCTCCAGATCCTGCCACATGCTGTGTGGCCTTGGATGAGCACCTGACCTCTCTGAGCCTCATTGTCCTCATTTGTAAAATGGGGATAACGGCAGCTTCCATTATCATGAGGAGGGAATGAGGTAATGAATGTGAAGTGCTTGACAGACACTGAAAGCTTAATAGTAAGAAACGGTGGCTGTCATCATTGATGTCTCAGTACAACCCTCTGAAGGAAATATTCCCATTTTTATTGCAAGTTGTAAGACCTGGGTTAGAGTCCTGGTCTCCTGAACTTCTAGTTTATGCTCAAAATAGAGGTGGATTGTCCTTACTGTTATCCCTCCTCCTTGCCCAGCCACTGCCCTCTGGCTGGTCCATTGTACGCACAGTGACTGATGGTGCAGCCTGAAGAGAAACTCCAGTGCAGTGCAATGGGAGGGGCTCGTGGCGAAGGCTGTGAGCTTAGCAGGAGACTGGGGGTCCCCCTTGGGCAGCTGGTACCCAGCTCTGTCCGTGGAGCATCAGGCCTGAGCAGGGCTTTTCTCTGGGCAGCTATCTGAAGCACACCCTGGACCAGTACGTGGAGAGCGACTACACGCTGCTCTACCTGCACCACGGCCTGACCAGTGACAACAAGCCTTCCTTCAGCTGGCTCCGGGATGCCTACCGGGAGTTTGACCGCAAGTGGGTTGGGGCGTGTGGCGGGGGGGCTCCATGGCCTGGGAGCAGGTATCTCTGGAGCCAGCACCTCTGGAGGTTCTGGGCTATCCTCTGCTTGGCAGGAATTTATTCCCCGCCAGGTGAGACAGGTGCCCCCACCTAAAGGTAGACAGACTGAAGTTGGAATGCCTTGGGCTTACGTCCCAGTTTCTCCACTCACTCCGTGACCTCTGCTGTTCCGTGACCTTTGTGAGCCCCCATTTCCTAATCTGTAACACGGGACAGCAGTGGCACCCACCTCAAGCTTGCCGTGGGCAGTCAGACCAGTAGTGGTGCACTGAGAACTCGGCTCTGTGCCTCCCCTGCACAGCCACACCTGAGCACCCTCCTCTGCCTCTGCAGGTACAAGAAGAACATCAAGGCCCTGTATATTGTGCACCCCACCATGTTCATCAAGACCCTGCTTATCCTCTTCAAACCCCTCATCAGGTGAGCAGCCTAGGGTGGGCCAGGGCACAGGCCCTGTCTCCAGGCTTCCCTCTTCTCTTAGAAGCACGTACCTATGGGGCCCGGGCAGTTTAGGGGTCTCATCTGCTCTGGGTGGGCAATGGGGAGACAGTGGAGGCCTCCAAGGGGCGCACCCACCCCTTGACCCTCACCCATCCTTCTGTGGGCAGCTTCAAGTTTGGGCGGAAGATCTTCTACGTGAACTACCTGAGCGAGCTGAGCGAGCACGTGAAGCTGGAGCAACTGGGGATCCCCCGCCAAGTGCTCAGGTGAGGTCGGGGCTTGGCCGCCGCGGGCATGTCTGCTAGTGAGGAGAGGGGAAGCCTCGAGACCTCAGGATGGCCGGAGGAAGTGAGAGCGGGTGTTAAGGGACAGCACTGGGGTCTGACAAAGCCAGTTCAAATCAAATTTCTCTCTTTTAATGGAATCTCTTCAAAGCCTTAGCTTTTTGATGTGTGAGGCAGGGTGGTTATGACGGGTAAATGAAGTGACCCATGTAAAACAGCCCCACCATGCCTGCTAACAAGGTTTGCCGTGGCAAGCAGAGAACCCACGGAGCACCCTGACCTCCCATCTGCTCCCCCAGGTATGATGACTTCCTCAAATCCACACAGAAGAGCCCTGCCACAGCCCCCAAGCCCATGCCACCACGGCCACCTCTGCCCAACCAGCAGTTTGGGGTCTCGTTGCAGCAGTGAGTAGGGGAAAGGTGGGCAGGCTTGGTGCCTGGTAGCTGGGGCGAGGGAGGGGCTGCAGACCCCTCACTACCTTGTTCCCTCAGCCTCCAGGAGAAGAACCCGGAGCAGGAGCCGGTTCCACTCGTGCTCCGGGAGACTGTCACCTACTTACAAGCCCACGGTGAGTGCCAGGCTGCTGGCCACTGGCTGCAAGGCCTGCTTACCTCCAAATCCACCTTTCCCCCTCAGCCCAGACCCAGCCTTCTCCTCAGCTGGGCTCCCCAGCGTCCCTTTCCGAGAGTGGTCCTCCATGTGTCAGCATCCCCATGGCCTTGACTAAAACTGTCTTGGAGCTCACGACAGAGACTGGCCCCTGCACTGAGGCTCACCAGCCCCTACCATTCCTAGCTCTCACTACCGAGGGGATTTTCCGGAGGTCAGCCAGCACACAGATTGTGCGGGAAGTGCAGCAGAAGTACAATATGGGTAAGTGGCTTGGGCACAGCCTATGGTGGGGACTGTGTGTGACTGTCACGGCTTCTCTGCATACTTCTGCCCTGTACACAAGGGACCCAGATTCTGTTCCCGTCAGGGGTTTCAGGACATTTGGTATCCTGACATGGGTCCCACTCTACCTGGCTGTCCCAGGCCTGCTGCCTCTTCAGCCACACTTCTGGCCCCTGGGTCCAGGCTCATTCAGAGGGGAGGGATAACTGTAGTGTGTGCTGGGGGCCCACTCTCCCCCAGTAGCCTGAACCTGCATCGCCTTTTCACAGGGCAGGGAGGGCAGGGCAAGAGGCGGCTCCCTGGGTGGAAAGGAGCTCGTGCACTGGTTGACGACCAAGTTGGGCAGTGGCTCTTCTTGGCCTTGGATGGTCTGCTGGTGCCCAGGTTGGGACAAACTCCTCCCCACCATCCATCCCTGCTGCCCCCCTCCCCTGCAGGGCTGCCTGTGGACTTCGACCAGTACAATGAGGTGCACCTGCCAGCTGTCATCCTCAAGACCTTCCTCAGGGAGCTTCCCGAGCCCCTGCTCACCTTTGACCTCTACCCCCACGTCGTAGGCTTCCTCAGTGAGTGTCCCTCTCTTCCCTCCTCAGCTGTGCACCTCGTCTGCCAGGGCTGGGGCCAGACTTGGAGCAGGTTGCGTTTGGCTGTCCATTCACCCTGTCCTTCCTTTAGGCTGTTGGCCTTGACATCTCCAAGAAGTCTGGTTGGGGGTCTTCCCTCTTGCCTTGTGTCAGGGGTTCCTGAGCCAGGCCAGCCCAGGTCCCGTTCCCACAGCCCTGTGACCTCATTCCTCATAGACATTGAGGAGAGCCAGAGAGTGGAAGTGACGCTGCAGGTCCTCCGGACACTGCCTGAGGAGAACTACCAGGTGCTTCGTTTCCTGACTGCCTTCCTGGTCCAGGTGAGCCCTCAACCTCAGCCTCCACTGCTCACCTGGGCGTGAGGGGAGAGGCTGCTGCTTTGGTTATGGTTGCCAGGAGTGGGGCGTAGGCTCCTTGGCTGCCTGCTGCAACTCCACATTCCCCCCCAGATTTCTACCTACAGCGACCAGAACAAGATGAGCAACACTAACCTGGCTGTGGTCTTTGGCCCTAATCTGCTGTGGGCCAAGGATGCCGCCATCACTCTCAAGGCCATTAATCCCATCAACACCTTCACCAAGTTCCTGTTGGATCACCAGGGGGAGCTGTTCCCAAGCCCTGAATAAGGGGCTGTGAGTCCAGCCCCTGCCCCACCAGCCCCTTTCTCAGATACCCCAGTTTGTACTCTTCCTCTTGATACCAGCCTCACAGGAGCCCAGGGCTGCTGCCCAGAAAGGGGCTGTAAAGCCCGGGGCAAAGCAGCTGGAGCCAGCCGGCCTGGTAGCTCCTCCTCCACTCTGTCCGGCCCCCCTCATGGCCCTGGAGGTCTTGCTATATTACAGACATTTTCCTTCTGCGCCTTATACTCCTCACTGCCTCCTGGAGCCCTGGCTCCCTCTGGGCTTTCCAGAGCTGGGCTCGGCTCTTCCAGCTGGAAAGGACTGAACCCCAACAGCCCCTTTCCTGCCTTCTCCTGCCCTGTTTCCCTGGCAGCTGGGGATGACTGAGTCACTGCCAGCTGGGCTGGTAGCTAGGGCTGGCCATCTCCTCCCAGACTGCTGGGGAATGGAAGGCTGAGTTCCTGGGCTTGGGCTTGGGCCTGGCCAGGCCAAGGCTCTTTGCTGCCTGTGTCTGTAGCCCTGCCCGTAAGAAGTCCCACTGCAAGAGGGCATGGGAGCAAGCACCCTGCTCATGTCCTTCCCTCTACAGGCTCAGCCTTGGGTATTTCCACAGCCAAGGAGTGACAGGGATGGAGTCTGCTTCCTACTTCTAACTCCTTCAAGTGGTACTGCCCCAGAGGGTCCGAACCCCCTGGTTCTGCCAGGACTGGCAGTTTGGGCAAGAGGACTGAGGAAGGCCCAGCCAGTCCCAGCTTCTATTCTAAATACATATAGACACCCTACTCCCACCACCATAAGCTACTGGTCCAATCAGTGACAGGCTCCCTTCCCGCTTGGATGGGCCTCGCCTGTAGACTCTGTGGACTTGTCTGTGTGGAGTCAGACTGGTCCCTGCTCTGGCCAGAGGTCTGGGGGGCTACTAGGAGGGCTGAAGCAGAGGCTCAGAGCACCCATGGAGGGGCAGAGATTGGCTAGGAGATCAGCCCCTGCCAGAGGAGCTCTAGCAACCACTCCCAGAGAGCATGGGGCCCCATGAGCCAGCCATCTGTCATCAAACTCAGACCCTATCCATGACTAATCGCCCTCATTCCAGCTGTGTCCCTTAGTATGCCACTCCTCCCTGTTGAGTTCTGGGAACCCTTGTCTCTGGTAGCAGGGAAATACCTGCACAGTGGCCTTGTCCCATATCCTTAGCTGGGCAGGGCAGCTCCAGAGCCTGCCCCATGGCAGGTTCCTCTGAGCAACCTACCCCATCTACAAGGCTGGTGGGGCCTGAGCCCTGCATTCCCCAGGTGACTGGTATATCAGGACTCCCGGAGCCTGGGAGCTGCTGCTGGAGGTCTCTGTACGCCCAGCCCTGTGCCTGGTCTCTGCTTTCTGCCTCCTTTGTGTATTGAGTGTTGCTCACAACCCCACTTATGGGGGGTCTTTTGGATCTCTTTGGTCTTCTGTCCCTGCCCCACTGATCCGTACCTAGGGGCACTTGTCCTGTGAACTGAGCGTTCACATCCATACTTAATCAATTCCTTGGCACCAATCATGTATTTCACCATTTGCACTTTTTGTATTTCAATAAAAGAAAAGTGGAGATAGAAAACTGCCCATCTGGCTGGAGTTAAGTGGAGCATGGAGGTTCAGGGCTGGATGGGAATCATGTGGTTGAGGGGAAAGCAAATAAGGCCCCAGGAAGACCCCGCCCCCATCCTCATTCACTTGAGTGGCTATGAGCTCAGCTTTCTGACCTCATCCAGGCTTCATGTGTGAGGAGTCACGTCCTTTGTTTTGCACTTGCAGTGTTCCAGCTGCTGCATGTGCTGTGTTCTGTGGCCACAGTGCCTTCTGCCCAGCTGGAAGGTCCCAGATGTCTGTTCATCTAAGGCGGGCAAGGCAGAGAGAAACTGGTCTGTGATGGACAGCAGTATGGGTCTTGGAGTTGGACTAGGGTTTGCATTCTAGTTCCATCACCAGCTCCAGCTGCTAGTATTATGTAATTGGCCCCACCTCTGAAACCATTTCCTCATCTGAGAATCAGAGATGATGTATATAAATACCTGTGAGTGCTCAGTGGTAACCAGAATGACCATAATTTCACACAAGTAGAATGACTGCCCAACCTCAGTCAAAAAAACCTTCACTCCTTCCCCTCAGCCTGGGAGACCAGGTGTCTCCACCTGCCACGTAGTCCATGGAGGCTTTCTTTTGAGCACGTTTCCCTTTGCTTCAAGAATGGTTTGTCATCGGGAAGGCAGGAAGACAATTTCACCGTAGTGAAACTAGCCCAGAGAGCAGGTTCCGCCTGGTGCTGCTTGTCTTCTAACTGCAGTCGGGAGGCTGTGGTAACCTCGGTTGTTAAGACGTGTTGTTGAGAAGGTAGTTATAAACACTGGCCCAGCGCTCCAGGAAACAAGTCCCATTGCACAACTGGCCTTCATCCAGGTAGTTAAAGGCAGAAGGCATTGGTGGCCTCCTCTCTCTCATTGGCTCTGCTCAGCTCTGAGCTGGGTGACTAGAGCAGAGACTAAGTGACCCAGAGAGATAAGCAAGAGAGATGATGGGAGGGGAGGCAGGGAGAGCTGTTTCCTTGGTCTGGGTTCCTGGCAGGGCCACTGCCTGATCTACTGCAGGTCTCGGGTGGGAAGAACAGGGAGACACCTTAAAGGCGTAGCACACCATGCTGGACTTGCTGTGCACTCTGTTGTTTTGGGAAGGTGGGAACACCAGGGAACCTTTCCACTGTTTCTGACTGACTCGGGCTGCGGCAACTCTGCCCAGCTGCCTGCATGGTCAAGTCTGAACTCTAAATTTTCTAACCTCCTTTTTGGTCCTGAGGGCTTCAGCCAGAAGTGGGTGGAGGGCAACCCAGGCCACGGGGACCCAGTTCCAGTCAGGTAGTTTTTCTCTTCTGCTTCTAGCACCTCCTTTGCGCTGGGACGCAGGTTCCACATTCCGCTCAACTACGAGGCCCAGCCTAGGCGGCTGGAGCTGGCTTTGCCAGACTGAGCCACTGGCAGCCAGACAGAAGAGTCTCTGCAGGGCTTTTCCACTTTTCCTGACTCCTCCAGGAGCCCTGTGCCCTGGCTGAAGCCGTCTGTCAGATCAGGGCAGCTAAGCAAGCTTGCGTGGGCCCTTGGCTTCCTTCTTCAGGCTGAATGGTGAGTTGTGTTACGTAGGGGGGAATATATGCTGACCCTTAACAGCCAACATTTTATGGAGACTTGACTTGAGCCAGGCACTATGCTAAGTACTTTATACATTCTCTTGTTGAATAGGCAAGCCCCCAGAAGTGGGGATTGTAAGCAGCAGAGAAAAAGGAGCTTCTAAGAAGTTTCCTGACCAGCCTAAGACTCAAAACATCCTGCCTCGCTCCAAAACCCTTCCAAGTTCCACATTCCCCTACTCCTCATTGTCCTCCAAGCCTGTGGTGAAGCTGACCTGCATGCAAAGGGAGGGTGGGCTAGGTATTCAGATAACTGGCAGGATGGGCAGCTGTTAAGTACAGAAAAAGATTTATTGGAAATCTCTCGAATACATTTTAAATTGTAGCTCAGTATTTCTAAACAAGGTAGGATGGAGAAAAAGGGACGGTACCACCTGGAGACAGATGTCTGGTCCTAGCCCTGTCCCAGGGTGCTGCAGGAGTCAGTCTAGGGCTCATACCTTTAACTGTATGTGGATGAAAGGCAAGGATGGCCTTGACAGTTGGTCTGCTCCTCTCAGACTCAGCTCCCTGGCCTCTCACTGATAGGGTCCTGGAGAAATGCAGCTGCCTGTACAGGCCAACAACCAGGAGTCCGAGGACTGCTGGGGATAATGGCTAGCAGGCCTTTTGATCCAAAGCCTTGACAAGACAGCTGAGATGGGAGCTTACCACCCTTTTCAGCCCCGGGGGTAAATGGGGATTGCTTTAGCAGGCCATGGGTATGGCCCCCACAGTGCATACACAGGCTGGGCTCAGCCTCAGCTGAGATAGCAGAGCCTGTGGCAGGCCTGGAGGTCAGCCTTTAGGTGGAAACAGCATTACATGCAGTTTACTAACAAGCAGTTGAGAGCCACCTGTTCCACTGGAGAACAGCTGTTGCCAAAGAACATCCAGGTGGACCAGGAGGAACAGGCAGGCCGAGTTCTCCTTGGCCAGGGCTGCTAGTTAGGCTGAGAAAGGGACAGATGGCAGCTGAGTGAGGCTAGGCACTTGACTTAATCAAGTAATAATACCTGAAGGGTAAGTCAATCATATGCCCAGCTTTGGTTTCTCAACAAGGAACCAATCCAACTAGTGAACCCCAAAACAGTGTGTAGGCCCTGGGATGAAAGGGTGGTGGTAGCCAGGCAGGCCCAAGTGGAAAGAAGGAAAAGGTCCCCAGCCCTGTCCCAAGGATCAGGAGCAAGTACACCAGCAGCAGGGATGCCTGGCCTTCTCTAGTCCACTGGGGGCACGTACAATGCCTCTGAGCACTGGGTGTGGCACAGCTCTGCAGAGTCACCACATTTAGCACCCAAGATTTCCTGGGCTGTCAGAAAAGAGTCAGTTGCTCTACAGAAGCAGGGAAGACTCAAGGCTCTCCACAGGAATATGGAGGTGTCCAAGATAAAGCCTACTGTCAGTTCACATGCAGCACTTCTGGGAGGCTGCTCTGCCCTATTCTTGGATCCCCTTCTTCTATGTCATGGAAAGGAGGATCCTCAGAGCAGTAATCCGGATTCTGAGGAAGCAGCACAGGAGGCAGCCCCGACTCCAGGAAGAGGCCCTCCAACTTCCCCAAGTGAAAGCAGCTAACTCCAAACATATTTTCTCTATAAAATATCTGACTTCTCTGGAAGTAATAAATATTTTCTGTATTCTATAACCAAAGAGCAACAAAGGGAGTGGGGAGGGGAGGAAAAGAGAAGATCCTCTGCTATGACTCCCAGGGCAGGATTCTAGAGACGCAACATTCAGTTTCCACCTCCCATGTAGCCGAGGAGCGGGACACAGCAGCCACCAGGGCTGCTCGGAGCCTATAAGGGATGGGCTGACACAATCTTCAGCAGTGGGGTTGGCTGGCTTTGGAGCGCTCATTGTCTTGGACAAGCAAGCCTCTGATGTTGCTAAAAGTAGAGGCCCAGGGAGCAGAGAGGAGCGAGAGGGGGCGAGAAAGAGGAAGAGGATACCAGGAACTAACGGATATACCACAGACTAGAGGACCCCTTCTTTCCTTCCTCCTGGCACTGTCTCCTTCCTTTTTCTGCCTCCACACCAGTCTCTGGGCCACCAGCTGGAATGTCTAGTGGTTGATGGTAATGGTAGGTGAGTGGCCAGCTGCAGACAGACCCAGGGCAGGAGGCTGGAAGCAGGCAGATGGGACTCCGCCCTTTGTGAAGCAGTGGAAGCAGATGGCCCTGCCAAGGGCCTTTTTGTTACAAAGGGTTTTTCCATCTCCAAGGCCAGAGGACAAGCCTCTCAAATGCTAATACTGGGCTTGACTACAGCCAAGAGTCTCCAGGCGGTGTGAGAGCAGGACTTCCCAATCCTCCCAGGACCTTCTTCCCTCTGTCAGCTTGGAGCAGTATGAGGAATGGGTGTAGCTGATGAGAAGGTGGCTCTGTCTCCTGGTATCACAAAAAAGGGGATGCAGCCAGTACTCGAGGACACCATCTTTTACTGCAGGGTTTCTACAAAGGCATCAAATTCTCTGACATTCTTCTCGTGCACAGCCAGCTTCTCTGGTAATGAGTCCTGCAGTGGAAGTGGGGAGAAAAGCTCTTATCAGGTAGGGAGGGCCCTGAGGATGCAGCCAGTCCAGCCACCTGAGCTAAGGAAGGCAGTGAGGCTGAGCCCAGTTCAGCACTGCTGGCTGAGGGTAGGGAGAATACAGGGCAGCTAAGTGGGCCCAGGACCATGGGGTCATGTCCACCGGTGCTCTGAGCGGACTGTGGGGGATTGACAGAGCAGCCCAGAGAACCCAAGCAGGCCAACCCAGTGAGATGGAAAAGGAACAAGCCCAGGACAGGACACTGTGGAGAAATAAAACGTGAACTATCCTTGGCACAGATTAAACTGATACTGGGGCACGAGAGAGCACCTAGAGCTCCACAGAATACCACGTGTTTGTGGAACATTTCTTCACACACATCACTGGGCGTCAGAATCCCCTGGGAGCACAGGAACGAGGCAGGCCCTGCCACACTCCCCAAAAATTCTGATGCAGCGGGTCTGTGACAGGGCCTGGGACTCTGCATTTTTTAACAAGCTGAGGAGGGGGATGGATCAGAGATGAAGGAGAACCACAAACGAGAGAAGCGTAGGAAAGCAGAACCACAAGGAGTCAGTATAAGACAACTGAGCGGCGGCGGCCAATAGTAACTGCCCTCGTGTGTCAACTCTATAAAAAAGAAAAAACAGACCCTGTCCAGGTGCCCTGTCTCCACTGATGAATAAATAAGCAAAAACTGATCTGAGGAGTCTGACCATCACAGGAAGACTTCCTGGGTTAGGCAGTGGCATAAGGTACTTGGGAGAGGTCAGGTGCCACAAGCACCCAGTTAGCATGTTGGCTGTGGCATCCCTTGGAGGACACTCAGACCCCATTTCCTTCCAAGTGCACTTCAAATGAGAGGCAGGGGAGTGGTTTAAGGCCTTAATTCAAGAGCCAGACTCTTTGAGGTCAAAGCCTTGGTCTGCCTGACTATGTGACCTTGGGCAAGTTAGTCAATCACAGGAATTAACCATGGTAATTAATTGTGCTGGTTTCCTCATTGGTCCACTGGGGATAAGAAAACATACCGCTTGATTGCTGAGGATTCATGTAAGGTGCTTAGCAAACTGCCTGGCACCTTGGAAGCCTCAATAAGTATTAGTAGTGATGGTAAGCACTGTAGTATCACTATTACCATTGCACATGCTTTTCTGTCTAAAGTAAATCAAGGGCATCTACCCCTGGGGCCTATAATTTCTGTGGAGGAAGTGAAATGCTCCCTTAGGTAGAACCACCTTGACTTCTCATGGCATAAGGCAGCCTGGGCCCTCTTCTGCCCTTCAGAGGCAGGAAGCAGGAAATACCCTAAGCAAGGGTATGGTAGTTACAATTTGTATCAGGACCTCTGGCTAAACATGAGACCCACTGGCTGAGGGAATGAGCTCTAGTACTCAGGACCTTCATCCTCTGTCCTGGCATCTGCCTGGCAAACTAAAGAGCTGAATGCAAAGCAACTGCTGGAGTAGCTTGACTCTGTGGCATCAGCCAGTGGAAGACACCAGGCACAGAATGACAGCAGTGCATGTCTGAGTAATGCTGAGCTGTGCAAAGAAAAGAGGAACTGAACACAAGCAAATTTAAGACAATGATTGCCAGATACAATGGAAATCTCAAGAGTGATCAAAAAGAGATAATGGTCTAAATTTATCTTTCCTGCTTCAGGAAAGATAGGAGGTGTGTGTGTGTTGGGGTTGAGGAAGGTAATAGGAAGAAACTTCCAGGCCTGTGAAACAGGAGTGAACATCAAATGGGGATGGGAGGTCAGAGGATGAGGTCTAGCAGGGGAAGGGCTTCCATACCAAGTCCTCAGCCATGGACTGTGCCCCAATGTCTATGGAGAGACTGCTCAGCTGAGGGGGGTTCTGAAATTCACGATAGAAGGTCCCCAAGTCCATTGGAAGAATGTCGTCTTTAGAAAAAGCTGGTTTCTTCAAAAACAAGACAAATCCAGTTTAGCCTCTACTTTGGACCACAGAAGAAAATGCAGGGGAGAGGAGCTACAAAGGGATACTCACTCAGGCACAAACAGACCTTAGTAGCTATCTGGGAAATTCCCATTTGGAGCATTACTTTCTGAATGGCAACCAAAGACTAGATATAAATAAATAGCCTTACTGCCCATGGGCCTCCAAATATCTCCCCAAACAGGGTTCTGGGCAGGTTCCCCCCCGTCCTACCATCTTTGTCTGCACCAGCCCACCTAATCCCTAGAAGGAAATCCTTGTTTCCAAATACAGACCTTCTCTTCACTTATCAACACGGCTGAGTGTCCAAAGACCAGGTTGTTAAGCAAAATTGGCATTATGTGAAAATGGAGGATGACCACATCAGATCACAAAATGGATGACTACAAAAATAATGACTATATCATTTCATAACTGCCAAATTACATCATTCCGTAACTGACAAACCAAGAATCATGGCCCAGCCAAATTGACACATAACCTTAACCATCACAGCCAAAGTTACTCTCGCCTTGAAACTTGCCTTTCATTCTCGCCAGATGTATGTCATTAATGTGCAAAATAGATTCCTTACTATTGTCATAAATGCAAAATGTCAGATAACAATATAGTCGGTAAGTGAGGAGAAGGTGTACTTTGACAGAAAGTGATTGCTGGTGGCTTCGAGGTTGGTTTCCCCCAGGACAGCAAGGGTCAAGGAATCTGATGACAACTTACGAAGTCGATCATCACAAAGTCGTCGTGAGTATTGCCACTGCTGCCCCCACTGGAGCCCTCAGAGTGGAGGCTGCCTTGGAGAGGAGATCCAGTCTCTGGGGAATCTGGAGGATTCACCTGTTACAGGTTGCAGGATGAGGCAGAATTAGGGTTGGCTCTGTGAACTGGATGCCAGTTACTGCCAATAATCTGGCTACAAATCCCTGAGCCCTGGGGAATGGATTACAGTCTGTGGAGGACCAGAGACTGGCCCAGGAAGGACGCCTTCTATGGTACTGCCTCACGGGAAACTCTCAGTCAACGGTGGGCTCACCATGGGATCAGCACCTTCCAGCTCCAAATTCTTGGGAGCAAACATGGCAAAGGGGATGTCTAAATTGGTCAGGGTCACCTGGAGAGACACAGGAGGAAAACATCAGGGCAGGACCCTCCCCAATCTTGCACACATCCCTTGTAGGCTGCTAGAGCCTGGGGGTCCAGCAACTCTGGCACACAGGCTGACCATGCTGTGCCTCAGGCTGCTGTCTTGTTGGAGACCCCAAGCTCCTCCCGCCTCCCTACTCCTCACTCTCCCTCTACTAGGATAAAGTCAGGACCCTAGGAATTCAGCTTTCGGAGTCTGGTCCACAGTAATTCAGTAACAACTGTGCTTGTCTGGCAGCGCTGAGGAGGATCTTCATAGCTGAAGTAAGGCTGAGGGAATGATATTTATAGAGCAACCATTTTATATTAAACAGTGTCTTGTCTCCTGCTCTAAGGTAAAGCTCAGATGATCACAGAAAAATAGTTCTTAACTCTTCTGAAGAGGTGTCATAGGCTATTAATGTTCTTCACAGAAAACTTTATACCCTCACACATATATGCACACACAAAATTTTGCATTTTGCACAACCAATTTCAGTGGTTCCAGAGACCCAAGGTTAAGAGCCCGGAGACACAGGGTTTCAACTCTGAAGGCTTAGAAATTCCCACAGGGGGCAGTGGCAGGAGAGTCACCTGGTTGACTGGTTTGTTGACAAAAGCTCCCACTTTCCGGACAAAGATAGTCTCGAGGACATCACGGGGGGAGGCCCGTCCTTCACTGCTGTTTGATACAGTTTCAGTATCCTCGCTGGAGAAGAAAGAGAAAGTTGTACCTCCCTCTCAATCCACAGCAGAGACTACATGGTGTGCCACCTATCTACCTTGTGGGGCTGCAGCCAGGGCAAGAGGTGGCCCTGCTGTCCCACCCACACAGGCAAAGGCAGCTGCTGCCATTCTGCCTTTTAAGTTGATAGCAGGGGCTGAGTTTCCTCCAGGAACTAAGAATTATGCATATGTGAATAGAACTGAGTGTTAAAAGTGTGTAAAGCTTACATCAAATTTAACAGAAAATACCAACGGCAAGCAGCTACGATGCACATGGCAATCACATGAAGCAGGCAAGCAGCTGTTGTAAACAACCATCATTTTACTGTCACTCTGTTACATGGCCAAAGCCAGTGTTTTAGCTTTTCTTCCTCTATTTTGGTTATCTAAAAGTACAAGACTGTATGGTGTCCAGTGTAATAATAAATGTAAGCCTGGCCTCACAAGGCACAATGACATTTTTCAAAAGTCACAAATTTGATTCCTTTAAGAGTCAGGGCTCTCTCCCCACTTGACAAATTGTCAGGGCTGAGGCTCTTGGTCTCACCATGTGAGACTCTTGGTGCATGTATCATGTTTCCCCTCCCTTCCTGCCCCGACCTTCCCTTTATTCTGACCACTCTTTGAACATATTCAGTTGGGCTGCTGCCACCCTCTCCTTCCCTAGCCCTCCAGACTGACTCCTGGATGATGGGGGGCGGGGAGGCTCTAAGCAGCAGAAATAAGGACTCATACTGAGGCTGGCCAGAGCAGCAGTCACAGCCCTGCAGGTGGCGGGGACAGGAAAGGTCCTCTGCCAAAGCAGGGACCCAAGGCAAAGAGAATTCCGTGGACTCAGTCACTGGGATCAGGTGTGAGGAAGACACCTTACAGCCTGCAGTCCAGAACCTCCTACACAGGGCCCTTTGTCTTTAACTACTCTTGGACATGTCCCAGGAGTCAAGGCTCAGAAAACTAGAAAGTAAACTGACTAACGGATCTTCCAGCAAGAGACGAAATGAGAGGATTTGAAGCTTGAGAAGCCATGAATAAAAGAAATTATTTTTCCTGAAGGATGGTATCAAAAAACAAAACAAGACAAAAAAACTTCCCCCAAAATTCCCCTCCTAGAACCATTTCACCGTGGGAATGAAAAAACGTCTCAGGAATTTCTATTATCAGAAAGTTCACTGAGGATGTGGTAGGGCGATGCAACCTCATCTCTGGGGCCTTCCCACTCAAGGGAGGGCAGGGCAGGTCAAGACAGCTCTCAGCTTCCCAAGAAAAAAACTATGAGCGTAATGGAAAGAAAGCCTGGGCTGTGGAGTCAGAGGACCTGGGCTCCAGTTCTAGGAGTGATCTCAGGCAGATGAGTTAACCCTGCTGAGACCCTCTCCTCTAGCAGCAGGGAGTTCTGCAGAATGGGATTCTAAGAACTTTCACTTTTTACCTAATTATGGTCTTCATATTTAGCATTTTATTTCTGTAAGCAAAAAAGGCAAAGACTTAAAATGGTATTTTTAAAATGAGGAATAACAGTTATTTCCAAGGGAACTCCATGAGGATCGAGCAGAGCAGGGGAAAAAAAAAAATTAATGCCAATTACAATCACAGATGCATTGTGGCCCCGGACTTCAGGGTTTTGGTAACCCTCGGAAGGAAGATGGGGCAATCTACTTCCATAGTGATACTGCCTTGGAAACCCAAGGAGGGGTCGCTGTGAGTCAGTTCCGACTCGATGGCACATAACAACAACAACTAGGAGACAGAGGGACTAACTCCAAGGCTAAGAGGAAAGCATCTGAAGACCCCTTCACTGGATGAGGTGCCAAGAACCATGCCCCTGCTCTTTCCTATCAGCAGCCACGCTTCAGGCTGGTTTTTACACACTAGCTGATGCCTAGGCTCCTGTGACTGGCTAACAATACCAGAAGGCAGACCCAACTGCCCTGACTATGGTGACTCCTGACCAGACTCCAGAAGTGAAATTAATTTGAAAACTTTAAGGATTCCAGATTTTGAGCACAAATGCTAAGCCAGAGCCAAGGCTAGAAGCCAGTCTGTACTGACACCAAATGAGCACCTGTGTGTCAGGGAGGGCAGGCCCCTGGCTGCCCTAGCAGGGTCAGAACCAAGATGGCTGGAAACTCACCTGCTGGAAGGTGTGGCAGCACAGTGGGCCCCATCAGAAGGGGTGTAGGTTGCCAATCTGTCCTGGTCAGCCTGGGCACCGTGGGCAGGCTGGTTGGGAGCAAGGGGCACCCCGCCTTCTTTCCCAGGAACCATTAGCTTTGGTGAAAGAAAGAGTTACAGTGAATCATGGCAATGTCAGCCAGGAGGGGAATGTTACATTCTGGCATGATGGTATCTGCTCTCAAGCTTTTGTGTCACAAATCTTGCCACCAAATGGGCAGGACACTCTGGATTTTTATCCTCTCTGGGACCCAGTTAAGGGAAGACACGTGGCAATGACTACAGATGGAGAAAAGGGGGGACAGAGAGAACACCTGAGAACGTCTTCTTTCCTTTCCCCTTGCGTTCACAGCGAGTCATGTCAGTCTTCCAAAGTGACCGAAGAGCTCTGCTTCCGAACACTTAGAACACTTGTCTTCAGAGTCCCCTCAACTGTCTTCCGGCAGGAAAGGGAGCAGGGAAACCCCATGGTCCTCCCCACCTTTAAAGATACCTGGTGAGGGTGTGTAGCATTTAAGCCAGCAGCAAACACTACTGGATAAGCCAGGTCAGCTGATCCAATGCCCAGGGCAGCAGGCTGATAGGAAAGGCGAGAGCTTGAGAGCTAAGCAAAAGAAAAACAAATAGGGGCAGAGGAGAAGAGGAGGAGAAAACAGGCTACCCTAGCACATGACTAATGATCTCCATCAGCAAAGAGATCAGGAAGGCCCCCAGCCCAAAGCCCCAAGGCCTGATGGATGGATTAAAAACAGACCAGGCCACTGTTTCAAGATAAGAAAACAGAGACTTGTTTGTCCTGGGATTCCCTGCTCTGGAGCCTCCCAAAGGCCTTAATGAGCTGTGGCTCGTAGGCTCCCCAGGGGCTCAAGCTGACTGTTGCGTTTCAAGCCCAGCAGATCTGTGGAGCACAAGCCTGGGCAGAACTTGGAGCCAAAGTAATCCGTTTTCCAAAGTCATGCTATTTTCTTCTTTGTCCTTGAGGTCCCTTTGAAACACACCCTCCATCACCTCTGTGCATGGGAGGGTTCCTATTTATATTTTAAAAAGAAAGAATACCAGTTTGGGGCTGTTTACTTGAAAATAAGATATAAATAACACTGTGTATTTTTTTACATCAATGGAAGAAGGAGGGGAAAATGAGAAATCCTATTCTGGGCTACTGTGCTGTGCTATGTCCTGTTAAAATCAATTACAAGCCTCAAAATAATCCTATAGCGCACTTGGGACATTTAAATAACTGTACTCTGTACTTTAGTTAAGAGTTTTAAATAAAAAGACGCCATCTGATTATAGCCCCTTCTTCCCATTACAGACTCACTTGATGGGAAAAGGTCAGTCCTGCCATGGGGACCCTCAGAGTGTCCGTCACCACAGGAGTAGGGGTCTGAAAATGTGCCTTTGTGACAGTAAACACACACTGTGCACAGATACACACAGACAGGAAAGACAAGAAAAGAAAAAAGAGAAGAAACTTGAGAAAGAAGTGGAAAAACTCTGGGAAGGGGCAGTAGCAACAGAGGGTGGGTGGGCGATGGGAAGTCAGGTCAGGCAGGAGAGAGCTGCTGTCTGTCTGCAGAGAAGGACAGCTTGGAAGGGTCTGGACAAGTGACGTTTAGCCCAGCGTGCTCCTCTGTGCGCCTGTCTCCCTGACGAGCAGGTGGAAAACAAAGCTCAGTCAAGCTGGCATGACTTGGCAAAACACAGAAACCTGAACCAGGCATCAGTCAAAAAAAAAAAAAAAAAGTGGCAGTTAAAGAACAGTCACTAACAGAAATGGCCTCAGAGCAGATGTGAGGTGCACTGAGGATGAATGGGGATGCTGAAGCGGTCATGTTAGACTGGAACCCTTTTATTACATGGGACCCAGAATCTGCAGGGAAACAGCTGACATTTTTAGTTGTTGTTGTTGTTGTTGTTATGTGCCGTCAAGTCGGCCCCGATTTTTAGTTAGAACTTTAAATAGCTGCACTTTCCTACGTCATCCCAGGGAAGGCAGGTGGGTGTACAGAGTGTGTGTGTCCTTACACTGCCCAATGGTATGGGAGACCTTAAAAGAGCAAAAGCTAGGGCACTTCCAAAACTCTTACAATTTTAAAACTAATAATGGGTAGATGATTTAATCCTTGCTGTTCCATTTTTAAACTTCACCAATTAGCTAATAAATGCTTAGAACTAGAGGTAGAACCTACAATGGTAGATTCAAAGTCACAACTATCTCTTGACTCAACTCTATGTCCAGAAGACACATTGGCCCAAGCACTCTTACTTTGTTGGCAAAACAAACAACATCACATTAACAAGTATTTATTGGACACTAGAAAAAGCTCAACATGAAGTTTTTGAATAATTATGCAAGTCCCTAGTTAAACCAAGGAAGAAACCATTCTAGTATTAACAGAGATGAAGATAACTGAAAGGCAAAGGATTTTCTCTCACTGTTCGACTACCAAGGTTCAGAATGTGTATTTCTGCCCTAAACTGCACCAGCCACGATCAGAGAGAGGTGTTAAGGGAGCACCCACTGCCAGGGCTCACCCAGAGGTGCACAGTGTTGATAAGATCATGGCATGATCTAGCTTTAAACTGTGATGAGACACAGTGGCAAATGATACCATGAAAGAGATATGCAGTCCCTACATAGGCCAATAGACCTTTAGTAAGCATCAGGTACAGGAACGAGCTTCCCAATTTACTTTTGGGGTCAAATTTCCACCGAATCACTGTATCAGAAAGAGAGACAAACTGATTTGCTATGGCTAGCCTGTCCATCCCTTATACCTCCCAAGTTACAGCTTTTTTTTTTTTAAAACATTTTATTGTGATTTGGGTCAGAGTTTACAGAGCAAATTAGTTTTCCACACAACAATTCGTACACCTTCTGATTCGTGACATTGACTGCAATCTCCACAATGTAAAGGCACTCTCCCCACTTCCTCCCTGTGTTTACTGTTTCCATTCACCCATTTTTCCTATCCCTTCCTGCCTTCTGCGCTTTATCCCTTGGCAAATGCACTCTCTCTTTTTTTGTGTTTTTTTGTATCTCATATGTATGACTGTTGTAACCAGTGCATACCTCCCTGGTGTTACTGTTCACTTTATAGGCCTGCCTATCATTAGGCTAAAAGTTGAGCCATGGGGCCAAGTCACAACTTCTAAGTTACTGTTTGTGAATCTATCATTTGTAAAAGAAAATAAAACTGTTAAATGAACTCTAAATCTGACATATCCACATTTTGATGATCTAAAAAATAATCTACTCCCATTAATATGCACTTGTAAGAAAATGGGCTTTCCTCTCATTTTTGGCCAGTGTTGTCCTATGCCAAAAAGCATACTGGAAGCTTCCCTACCCTGTTGTTGTTGTTGTTGTTAGGTGCTATCAAGTTGGCTCAGTGACCCTACATGTAACAGAACAAAACACTGCCCTGTCATGTGCCATCCCAACAATCCTTGCTATACTTGAGCCCACTGTTGCAGCCACTGTGTTAATCCATCTCATTGAAGGTCTTCCCCTTCTTCGCCCACCCTACAGCAACATAAATACTGATTTACCCACACATATTAATGGGAGGAGGGGACTAACAATTCCTGTGCCTCCCAACCCAGACTGTCTAAGCAACTCTGGAATTTGGATCTTTGAACTCTAAACAAACTGGGAAAACAGAAAGAACAGATGTCTGCAGATGGTGCGATGTCATTCACTGAAACTTTTTTCTTAATTATAAAAAAAAAACAACCAACCAATGGAAAGGTTGGGTCCCCAAAGTAGGATGATGAAAAGGGATAATCTAGGGTTAATTTAAAGAACCAGGCAGTGCTTTGTTCTGTTGTACACAGGGTTGCTGAGCTGGAGCTGACTCAAAGGACCTGACAACAACAATTTAAGGTAATGTAGATCTGAGACAGGTCTAGAACAAACTGTCTAATGTGAAAGTGAAATAATAGAGATGGTAGGCAGATGGAGCAGGGATCAGGAGGCATTAAGGGAGAAGATGAATGATGTGGGATAGAAGGGAAGAACAGTGCCCCTGAAATTCAGTCAGCTGCCAAAAATGACTTCTTTGCAGTAGCTATCTCACCATCACGCACATTATACAATAAGACTACACAGATGCTTTTTCTTGGTAAGTGGAGAACGTGGTTTGGATATTGTGTTTTACTGAAACTGTGTTTGGCAATGAATACCAACTCAAATGGAAAAGTTGATGGCTAAAGAGGTCTGGGTAGGGAGTACAGATAGGTAGAACCTTAGGTCAACTATTAAGAAATACGGCACTACTGGTTTCTTACTGCCATTTTATGCTAAATAATTATTGGTTCCTTTGGGGATCCTTAAGGAGCTCTGGTGGCATAGTGCCTAAGGCATATTTGACTGTTAACCAGAAGGTTGGTGGTTCAAACCCATGAGCCACTCCACAGAAGGAAGACTGGGCAATCTACTTTCATAAAGATTTACCGCTTTGAAAAACCAAAGGAGGTCGCTATGAGTTGGAATTGACTTGATGGCAGTGGGATTGTTTTTGATTTTTGGGGCTACTTCCATTGTTACAAACGAAATCTATCACTTTAAAAGAGCAATAACTCCTTAATTAACAAGTGTAGGTTATAGTATTGCCCTGGTGTCAGAATGCGTTTGGAAATCTCTGACTGATTTTCTAGAGAATTATAAGATATAACTAAGAAAGTAAAGGTTACATGTAATCCTGCAGGTTAAGAATTGTTAAACTAGGAACACTGAAATATTACCTAGTGTATTAAAGCGCTCACCAGTCCCCAAAACAACTCCCTCAAAACAATCACAACCACCACCACAAGACACTACGTCCAAAATCTGACATCATTTCATAGGTCTCATATACATACCACATAACTCCTGCTGCCCCAGAACCTGTTTCCCCTACCTGAGATGGAGGGGAGGTGGAAAAAGAGGTGGTACACACTTCCTGAGAGTCTTCCACAGATGGATATGTAACTCCAGTGTCCTCACCAGCAGTTCTATAGGAAGGGGAAAAGAAAGAGCTTTGTGGTGGTGGCAATCAATTTCAGAAAGGACACAAAGGGAAATTAGATAGGAACGGAAACTGTGACAACAGTTGTTTCAGGCATTAAAGTTTAAGAGAATCCATGCCAAACTGGGAGTCAAAAATAGCAAACTGAAAATATCTCCTTGCAGATTTCAGAGTAGCAAGAAAGACACACTGAGACATTTCAAAACATTTTCAGAAGAGCAGCATCTAGAGGTCTGACTAAAGCTTTTTTATTTAAGCCAAATATCTTACCTGATCTATCATTTGAGAGAGAATTTTCTGGGCCAATATTGGGGGCAGACCAGGTCTTCAAAGAATTGTTAGTAGTAGACACTCAGTGAAAGAAAAGTTTAGAGCCTACAGACATCCTACCCAGCTCAGAAGCCCATCAACACATCCTTCTTAATACACAGCTACTCCAACCTCCAGAGAATTGTGTTTTCTGAGATCTAGGCCTGGAGACATTTTATTCTGATGTATAACTGAACAGCACCAGATGGCAACCTTGAAAACCATTAATTTGCCAAAGGACATTCCACAAATAACTGCCATTCTTGTAGTCCCTAAGTAAGCTGCTAGTGACAAAAGTCTCATTACTGCCATCAACATCCAAAATGTCTACAGATTTTCTCAGCCTTTCTGTGTACCTCAAGTCTTGGTGCACCTAACAGGCAACAGCAAGAAGGGAAGCTAGCCCCTCTATTTCTCTGTACATGGGGTCTCCATTAGTACCCCTATCCAGCCATGAGTTCTGATAAAGGTGCTTTATCTGCCCCTGAAAGATGGATGCATTTGCCTGGCTGCAGTTTGAGAGAGCACTTTTCACATTCCTCACCTGTAACTGCAGGGGTGCATAGGCGAGGAGCTGGGATAGGGACGGTCCACAAAGTGATCAATGATAATCCCCATGATAGGTGGGGTTCTCTCAAATTGCCTGCAATGCAATAAGTAGATTTTGCAATATTTGTTAGAATGCCTTTCAGCCCACCAAAGTCCTCAGAGGGTCCCTTGCTTTAGATCTGATGGCAGGCACTACCAGGGCCTTAATTATTGCACCCCTAAATATAAATCAACAATTTTATATTCTGGACAAACTGGCTGTGGGACACTCAAATCCTCCAGTCTGACAACTGCATGCTCTCTCTTGAATTTTTATTCTTCTGAGGGCTGATTTCAGATACAGTAAAGGTGAACTGTATGTTTACACTTGGTGTTGGGGTGGGCAGGGGAATGGATGAATATCTTTGGAAGAGTTCTTTTGGATTCTAAGACTCTTTCTCACCTGGTAGACATGAATGCCAAGTTAATTCTGTAAGCACAAGAAAGAGTGATGGTGCCAACAGGGGTGCCCACTGTACCAACACGAACTGTTTGGAAGCCTAGGAGAAGAGAAAATTTATTAGCTTTTTTCCAAAGAACACTAGCACTATTCCCAGTGTGCCTCTTTCCCTGGGTCATTCAGCCTACCATCCAATCTCTGGCATTACTTGAACACCATGAGTGCAAAAGCCTCAATTTCTCCTCTCTCTGTAGTTTTATAAGGAGCTCTGGTAGCACAGTGCCTAAGGCATTTGACTGCTAACTAGAAGGTTGGCGGTTCAAGCCAACCAGCTGCTCCATGGAAGGAAGATGGGGCAATCTACTTCTGTAAAGATTTACTGCCTTGGAAACCTAATGGGGGTCACCGTGAGTCAGAATTGACTGGAAGGCAGAGAGTTTTTTTCGGGTTATTTTATATAGTTCTTTTTCTTTTACCTTTTTTGTAATTTTTCTACACTGACCCAATATTTACAGGTGAAACAGCATTCTATGAAAATAGCTTCCAAGAGGTGTAACAACCATTAGTCCCAAAGTCTGAGCAAGTCTGACCCAATCCTGTCCAAACATGTAACAATGCACAGTGAGAGAGAGAAAGGGCACTAGGAATGTTACACAAACACCTCAACTTATGAAGTAACTGCACACCCGCCCAAGCTGCTACCCCAGGCTAAGTATAAGGAAAAGTCAGGGCCCAGTTTTCCTTTTATTGGTTTTGTTTCTAATTTTTCAAAATTGTTGGTGTTCATCAGGAATATTTAACATGTTCATTGTACAAATCAGGAAAGCAGACAAAAAGGAAGAAAGCACTGAATTGCTGGAAATCTTGGGGAAAATTGGCTATCTCTGGGAGCTTGTTAGAGTATAGATATGCTTTCTAATCTTTTCCTTACTTATAGTACACATATTAAGATTACAGGCTATCTCTTAGTACAGGTAGCAACCAGGAGAGCTCTTAATACCACAAATGTGTTTGAACCTTCATACATACCTTCTCCTAAGCCATTCAGCTGAACTTCCCCAAAATAGATTCTACAGGAAAGAAGAAAAATAAGATTACCTGAATCTTTATGCTAATGACCTTTATAGACAAACCACCTGGAAACCAACCAACAAACAAAACAAATCCTTCCTTCCTCATCAGCATGAATACCTCTCCTGATGCAGCAACACTATTTAAATTGATTAAGCTGCAGGTACGGGGATATAGAGGGAGAGAACTGGTTAAGGAATGACAGAAATAAGACTATTCTAAAAACATAAACATAGTGGAGCCTTTCCATGCATCTTCCTGGGAAGGCCAATCAATATTAGCAAAAAGTCTGAATTAGTAAGTACTTAAAATGTATTGATATTTTTCAAGTCAAAAACTCACTGCTGTTGAGCTGGATCTGACTCATAGTGACCCCTCCTTGGGTTTCTGAGGCAGTTATCACTACAGAAGTAGATTGCCCCATCTTCCTTCCAAGGAATGGCTGGTGGGTTTGAACCGCCAGCCTTCTGGTTAGCAGTCAAATGCCTTAGGCACTACGCTACCAGAGCTCCTATTAGCATTGTTAAAAATTAAACATATACGTGGGTTTATTCAATATATATGAAGCTCCAACAATGTACGAAGTTATTAGATGTTAGGGACAAGGTAACGAGAAATAAGACATTCTGGGATCTCAGACATTCTGAGATCTGGAATAGGAGAAAAGATATGTAATAAATATCTGAAATAACACATGAAGGAGACAGACAACATAAAGCAGAGCTGGGCAAATTTTTTTTTAAAGGGAGTTTTTTTTTTTTAAAGGGCCAGAGAGTACATATTTCAGGTCTCTGGGTCACATAGTATCACAACTACTCAACTTGCTGCTGTACAGCAGAAGTGACCATATACAGTATATAAACAAGCAGGCATGGCCTTGTTCTGAAAAAAAGCTTTATTTACAAAAATAAGCAGTTGGTCTGCTGACCCCTGCCATACAATAATAATGTTAATAAAGTGTTGCCAAACAGAAATCCCCTGAGTTATCCCTGATAAAGAGCTGACTGTCAGCACACTGCTCATATGAATATTGGTGAAGTGCTTAAAATAACCTGATTACGTTTAATTTTCTCTTGGGTATACTCTGTTTACACTATTTTTATACTAAGATAAAGTTTTCTTCACAAAATAGTAGACAATAAAACTTTAATCAACCTTGATGAACAGCAAATACAGAATGAGTTGTTTCATAACTATAATTCTACAGAAAAATAGCATGATAATACAGCTCAAAAAAACAAAGACAAGGCTATACTTCAATGTTGAAGGTTATACAGTTAACCTGCTGACAACAGTATAAAAAGGAAAAAAAAAGAAAAGAGATGCAAATCTATCTCTAAGATCACCTACCTCTCTGTGGTTTAAGCCACAATTATTTGCATCAAAAAGGACTTGTGACTGATAAACATACAGTGAGCAATACAGTATTACTGTAGCAGTGTAGGTTGGCTACTTATAAAAGAATCAAAGAGAAAGAGGATTTAGTACCAGCAAATGGCAGGTAAGAGAATTTTTTTACTGTATTTGAATAAGAGTCTAATAATTTTCAAATGAAACTCTCAATTTTAAACCTGGGAAGACAACAAAATTTTATTAAATAAACATGGTCAGGGTTACTTGATTACTGCAAAGAAAATCATAGCATGATTTGGTAACTATTTTTAGGAACTGGATTGTTAAGTTTCTTCTCCTTAGTCACTCCATCCTGCTGCATTAACTCTAAAAATCACTTCTATACATTTAAACTTCCTGCTCTGAAACCAATGGCTTGTCACTAAGATAAATGAAAGGAGCCATAGATGATCTGGGAACTCTGTGGTTAAGGGCTCAGCTGCTAACCCAAGGTTCAAACGTGCCAGCTGCTCTGTGGAAGAAAGCTGTGACTCCATAAAGTACTTCCTGTCTTGGAAACCCTATGCTGCAGTTCTCCTCTGTCCCACAGGGTCACTGAGAGTCAGAATCACTTGGGCAATAGGTTTGGGTTTTGTGGTTAAGCTCCAATGCTCTGCTCTCACTTTCCTGTGTATTACCTGCTCCACCACTCTGGGCCATTTGATAATCTGAGTACAGATCATACTTCACCCCCTCACCCCTGTCTTTGTACTCTCCATCTGGACTGCTCATTCTCTATCACTCCTATCAGCTAAAATTGTCTTTGCCCTAAGGTCCAGCTCAAATGCCACTTCCTCCATGAAGCCTGTCCTGTTTTTGCTACCTACAATGAACTTTTCCTTCCTCTCTGTAATCCCAGTACTTTTTCCCTGATACTGCTATGCAGATTTCAAAATCTGCTTTTATTATAAATTTATGCACGTACCCAATTGTTTCCCCCATAAGAATAGAAACACCATTACAGCAGAGACTATACCATAGTTCTTCCTTGCACCTTTTCTCCTTGCATTAAAAAGGCATTTAATAAATATGTGTTGAGGTGGAATACTAAAAGGAACATCCTCAAAGAAATGTTAATCAGTTCCTTATAATGAAGAACTTAAATTAAATTCAATTTAGTTAGACAGACAATTTTAATTTAACCTAAAATACAGAAGTCCACGTGTACAGCCTCC